ATTTTTTGGGGGGGGGGGGGGGACCAAGAGTATGTTCAATAAAGCAACCAGCTCGTAGCAGGAGGTCCATACAAGACCGTAGTAAAAAGATCAAGTGCTACCGAGGCGTTTGAGGCAAGGTGGCGGCCACAAAGGGCAAGGCAGAAAATGACGTTGGGGAGCTCAACCCATTGGAAGAGCTGTGTGGGTGGAGAGAGTTGTGGTCCTTGCTGGGTGCTCCCTAACATAGCGGCTGCATGGTGGCGTCTCGTCATTGGGGTACCAGACACTACTGACCCAGTGCGAAATGGTAGGCGCACTAACCAAGTGTGGCGCTTTGATGTTGGCTTTGGCACGTTGGCAATATCAAACTATCAATTGGTTTACTTCCAGCCCTTACGGACACACATTTCCATTCGGCAGAGCTCATTTCACTCTGTTTAGTTGTGAACTAGATAAGCGTGAACATGACGAAAATGGTCCTAGCTCCAACGAACAGCCTCGTGTGACCTTGCATAGCCTCGTTCGATTTGGGCGATGCGGCAAATATGCTCTCATTGTATGCATCATCATAGACACGGATGATATCCTTGCCCATGGTGTAGGTCAATTGAACAACACGACCTCGTCGTACGGCATAGCTGCGCTTTCCACTTGGCGGCCATTTGATAACATCTCGAGCTGAGAATAACCACATAATATTTATTTGTCATATACTCTAACAAATTCGTATCGAAAAGTGTATTGTATCGTACAGAAGACTTATCAGCCATTTCCACCTCTACCAAAAGCAGGTGCAAGCTCAGAAGCCGTCATCTCAAGAATTTGCGGCGTCTCGGCTGCTCTGAGAGCTGGCGCTCATGGGCGGGCGGCTAGTTGGAAGGGAGTCTTTTGAACCGTTTGACTGCCGCACTCTAGCCCACGCGTAGACAATGCCACTCACGAATCCAATGACGATGGCCGACACACTGCCGAATGTGACTGGGGCCGCAAAGAAGACTAACCCGCTGATGGCGATGGGCAGCTTGTTGAGGGCTCCCACCATTGAGTACGTCGTGGATGATGTGACTCTGATGCACCACGCAGAGCAGTACGAAATAAATATTGCTGCTAATCCAGAGTAAACCATGCCGATAATTATCCGGTTACGCGATTCGTCAGGGAAGTTCTTGGCGAAGTTGGTACCCGACCAATCTTCTGCCAGTAGCGAACATATGAAGAGGACTGGGATCGTTAACAAATTATTATAATACATGGCTGTTTCGTCAACGGTTAGTTTGCTTCTCTGAGATTGTCTTTTCTGGAGGCGCTCCGGCCTCCGGGGTCTTAGGAAACGGCACTTACTATCCCAGTCTTTGAAGTTCATCTTCTTGATCACTTTGCGCATGCCCAGCACATAGGATGCGGTGCAAAAGACATTCAGCCCCATCCATGCGTACCCAGCATTCAGAGTAGACATGGCTACCGAGGAGTCAGCATGTCCAAAGTCGCCAGCAATCGCACTCTGTATATCTGCCCAAGCAGCAACCACGGAACTGAGAACCATAAGCCCAAACGATAACAGGGCAAGCGGAGTCACGCTGCCACCAAACCACAAAACTTCGCCATAGGCGATGACGATGATGGTCAAGTTCTTGAAGATCGTGTATACCGGAACAGAAAGAAACTGTAATGCTTTGGTGCTAGTATAGATCATACCGACGAGGAGGAGCGAGATCGGGAACCCTGCACGTCATATTCAACCTATCAGTCCCATGTTCGTATTCATCACGAGTATTGCAGAGACGTATCACCAACATTTTCTAGCCTTGTTCTGATCAAAGGGTGCGAGATTTCGGATCAGTCCGAAAGATTTGCAGGCCGAAATGGCCGCGATGCAAACAACTGCCTATGCGATATGAGTATTCCACATCATCCCAGACATTTCCCACACCATCTGGAGTCTGGAGAGGAAGGTCGCAATACCTGGACGGCAAGATAGAAAAAATTCAGATTCCAAAACGTTCCCGATACCACATACTTGTTTACAACAGTCATACTGATAGAAGAGAAACAATATGCCACGACGGAGAGCGGAGGACTGTTGTCCAACTTTGACAACGACTGGCTGATTTCATTTTGCCCGCGGGTTCTCGATGGAATGGCCTTGGTCGTGAAAGCCTCCTTCTCATTTCCAGCAAAGCCCCCATCGGATATCTGCACAATAAAATCCTCGTTCTTCTTGTCGCCCATTTTGACAGTAACGGTCAACCAAGTCGTGCGTTCGTCTCGCGAGGATAATGTCGTCGTGGAGCGTGGAGATCCGTTGGACAGATGCTCTATCACGAAGAAGTACACACACCGTCTGCAAAACTAATGAGTGAAATGAAAAAGAAACAATGCCACAAATCGTGAACGAAGATCCTAGATACAAGTCGCCATGACAGGTTTCGTGAGCAACTCTTCTTCATACCCACTAACCCCTTTGACTCGGGCGACTGAATTGGGGTGTGCGATCGATATGCAATATACGCATAATATGCAGTTATACGAGCGCGCATCACAGGGGCACTATCAAAGAAAAAGAAGAAAAATATGAAAATATGAAAATATATTAGCTTGGTAGAAAACTTTTCCCTTTGTACTAATCAGAATTGCTAACAGCATTCAGTGGTAGTAAACTCGTTTTTATCTATTTTCAATTGTGCTCTCCACACATTTTTTTTTTTTTACATTTTTTTAGGGGTTAGATAGACAACTAACTGGGCGACTACTGTGGTGATATAATATTACATGCCTTTTAAAAAATAAAGAAAATAAAAAGAAAAGGCCTAAAAACAGTGAGCATTAAAAAAAAAAGGACAAATAACGTTCTGCATGTCTCCGAAGCTTAGGGGGTGTCGACATTAAAAGGGGCTTTTTTTTTAAAAAAAAAAATGAAAAAAAAATGAAGAGAAAAAAGAAGCCAGATTGCGCATCTACTAACACTGTAATTTAGCCGTACCAAGTGAATTATGCTGGATTTACATACGGCTTATTTCTTGTGTTATAAATTAAAGGGGGTTTTTTTTTTAAAAAAAAAAATAATAACTAATCTTTGAAGCAAAGGCCGCTTTGATAGAAAATGCACACCCATGGTTTGGAGCCTTGTAGCTAAAGGGGAATTGCCGAACAACTTCAGCAATCTCACTCGCTACCTCCTCGACCAGCATCTTCCTCGTTCGATCTCCTCCTGTACGCTTTGGCTATGGACGACCATGACGCGACCCCGAACAGTTTACGGCACGGCGCCATCTTCGACAGATATCTCCCGGAAGGCTACTCCGCTGACCCAGAAGTGAGCTTATCGTCTCAGCCCACAGTAGAAAGCACGGCGGAACATGGACGAAGCGTGGAACAGGCCTCGGAGTCATCGACGACGAAGGCCTTGCCTGGGGGTAATATCGCCGAATCATCATCAACTAACCCGGATGACATATCGGCAGAGAATCTCGAATCATCGCTCAAGCTACAAGGTGGAGATATTCACCGTGACATGTTCAAGATTAAAGCCCAGGCCAATACACTGCGGCGAGCTGCGACATTCTCCCATCAACCGTCTCCACGTTTAGGCCCGGCTGACGAACACGTACACCACGGCAGGCATCGTCGGAGGTTCAGTGGCACTCTGGTCATTACGAAGAACTTCGTCGATTTTTTGGACCTGTATGGCAGTTTTGCCGGCGAGGATTTAGAAGATGAAGACACATCCGAAGACGAGTCCGCGATTGACGACCATGACATAGAAGAGCCAAACGAACGCCGGCCACTCATTGATCGACCAGCAGCATTCACACGACGACGCAGAAGCTCCAGGCGGTTGGCACGGGAAGGCGACGCTAGCACTGTGAAAACCTTCTTCACACTCCTCAAAGCCTTCATTGGGACCGGCATTATGTTTCTTCCCAAGGCATTTCGTAATGGGGGTATCCTCTTCTCGTCCCTGACGTTGGTGGCTGTATCACTGATCAATTGCCTGTGCTTTCGCCTGTTGCTTGACTGTCGGCAGAGATATGGCGGCGGCTATGGCGAACTCGGAGCGTCCATTGTTGGTCCTAAGTTCCGCAATCTCATTCTTGGCTCGATTGCGTTATCCCAGTTGGGGTTCGTCTGCACCGGATTGATCTTTACTGCAGAAAATCTATATTCCTTCTTGGACGCTGTAACTCAGGGCCACAGAAATGTTAATGTTGGGGTACCGGGTCTGATTGCTCTGCAGCTTCTACCTCTTGTGCCACTGGCCCTCATTCGAAAAATCTCCAAATTAGGGCCCGCTGCCTTACTTGCTGATGTCTTTATTCTTGTCGGCCTTGTATACATTTGGCAATTCGATATACGGGCTTTGGCAACGCATGGAATGGCACCTAGCGTGCAACTCTTCAATCCTTCGGCATTCACTTTGACTATAGGCTCTGCCATCTTCACTTTCGAGGGTATAGGTCTCATCTTGCCCATTCAATCCAGCATGAAGAAACCGGAACAATTCAGTGGGCTACTATACTCTGTGATGTTGCTCATTACAGTCATCTTCACATCAGTCGGTGCCCTTTGTTATGCTACTTTTGGCGAAGAAACGAAGATTCAGATCATTTCGAACTTTCCCCAGGACTCGGTGGTAGTCAATGCGGTGCAATTACTGTACTCTCTTGCCGTCCTAGCAGGCGAGCCTGTTCAGTTGTTTCCAGCCGTACGTATCATTGAAACGTCATTGTTTGGAGAGAGAGCTACTGGCAAGAAGAGTCTTGCCATCAAGTGGCAGAAGAATGCGGCTCGGACCCTGGTAATGGGTCTTTGTGTTGGTATCAGTATCGTTGGTGCCAGTGATTTGGACAAGTTTGTGGCCTTGATTGGAAGTTTTGCATGTGTACCACTTGTATACATCTACCCGGCGTATCTGCATTATAGGGGTATTGCGGAATCTTCATGGGCAAAAACGTTGGACATGGCAGTAATGATTGTGGGCTTGGTTGCCATGCTCTATACCACATCGGTCACTTCTGCCCAATGGATACAAGGCTAGATGGATAGATGTCAGATATCTAGATACATGGCCCCCGCCGAATTCAAGGAATCGAGTTCGATATATCACTTAGTAAATACTCGACGATGAAGATGAAGTACCTAGCACACAAACAAGGCCTAGTTATCAATTGAGTCCCTCACAAGGTCACAATTGGCTTTGGCACCAACAAATTCAATCGACGGTCCCCCTTTGAGTCCTAGATAAGGTCATTTCGCTGAATGACCAAGTCATCCCGTTACCTGGTAGGAACATAGGTAGAAGGCAGGAAGGGTGTTATACACTTTACGATGTATAACAACAGTTGAGCGCGGCTTGGTCGCAACTAGCTCCTGATAGCTCATATTAAAATATGCCATTACACTAGTACGTACTCCGCACTCTTGTGCACATTTCACTTCTGGCTGGACTACGTGTACTTATCGATCTCAGATATAACCACAAGTTATTCTTTGGACCCCCGTAAACCCTGGCCGCGAGGGTAAAGTGACAGTACAGCCATTAAAAGATAGGTCCCAAAATTAACATGAACTATTAAAAAGTCTAATATATGAAATAAAATTTTTAATAGGCTATTTGCACAGCTGATGAGGTTAGTGATGGTCACCAAAACACCCTTTGCGCTTGCCAGCGGGCTGAGTACGTAGTTCGTGCATGACGCACCCCCGCGTCTTCTTTGTCGGATGTTGGTGATCGGCCCCCACCACTAGCGGCAGCCCGAATACCGTTGACGCCATGCTCGCCCACCACAACTCTCACTAGGACAGGTTATGTCGTCTTATCCCCGCTCTCCACCTATAGATAGTCTTATGACAACTGCGCCTCTCATTCGTGACGCACTACCGTAAGCCGCAAACATTTCGGCCTGACATGTCCGTTACCAGATTCCTCTATGGTTCTTTCTGCTGGCTTCATGTAGCAAAAGTGTGTCGGGATGGGAGACATCTGCAGCACGTTCCCAGCTAGGCTGTAAGTACCTAGGTAGTAGTAATAGTATGCTCGTACAAAAAGAGGGTTTGCTCCTCGTTCTCAAGCAGGCTCTTTAACATAAGCCCGACCTCTCACATGCACGCATTGCCATTTCTCAAGGCTTAACTCAGTCCATATCATCAACTGACACCATTTGACATGGCATTGAGAGGAATGTCTGGGTCCGCCCCATCATTCAGGCAACTGGTCAACGCCTCCTGTAGTACAGTGTCCGCTGTTGTCCCTGGGCGGCTTCACTCAATCCAGCGGGGTGCTTCACATAGCTCAACGAGAAGCTGCAACATCGTTTCTAGTGCAAAGTCTCGCTTACTGCCCGAATTTTCTCTCAAGGACAAAGTAGTGGTTGTGTCCGGTGGTGCTCGAGGACTAGGGCTTATCCAGACGGAGGCCCTGCTCGAAGCAGGCGCAACAGGTATGCATGGCCCTCAGGTCAGCCAAGGAATCGGTTTCGAATTCAATGATATGTATTCAGACACTTTGCTGAACATTTCAAATACTCCTAGTTCACGCTATTGACAGGCTTCCCTCTCCTGCCAATGATCTCAGTTCGGCCTTCTCGGAAGTCTCCCAGAGGGCAAAGGACGAGCTTGGTACTTCTTTAACCTATCACCAAGCAGATGTCAGAGATGTTGCACTTTTAAACAAAATTATGGAAAACATCGCCAACCAGTCCAATCGCCTGGACGGACTTATTGCAGCCGCAGGCATCAATCACGAGACCCAGGCTCTGGAGCATAGCGCCGACGTGGCCAACCGTATTATGAGCATTAACGTTACAGGAGTCTTCATGACAGCGCAAGCAGCCGCTCGTCAAATGGTTCGTCTCAAACAGCCAGGTAGCATTTGCCTCATCGCCAGCATGAGTGGCACTATCGCTAACAAGGGCATGTACGCACCGTAAGTCGTTACTGGAGCAGTTTTCAAGTTTCAGTCCCAAAATTTCGAAGGAGAAACAAATGAGACTCTGTCACGATAGGAGAGAATAACAAAGCGGAATAATAGGGCATACAACGCATCGAAAGCGGCCGTCATTCAGTTATGCAGGAGTCTGGCGGCGGAATGGGGCCAGCACGGCATCAGGGTAAACTCCCTCTCGCCGGGCTATATTATGACACAAATGTTACAGAATCTTTTCGACGACTTCCCCGAGCGCAAGGCCTTATGGCCGACAGAAAACATGCTCAACCGCCTGAGCCTGCCTCATGAGTACCGCGGTGCCGCTGTGTTTCTGCTGAGTGATGCCAGCAGTTTCATGACGGGTAGTGACCTTCGCATCGACGGAGGCCATGCAGCTTGGTGAATTGCCATTGGTTTTGTTTAAAGGCCTGAGAAGCGCCATTTTCTGATTTAACGGGATGTAAGTTGCCTTGGGTGTCAACATAGTGAGAGTGGATTGCAGTTAGTAATCGCAGATGTCTGTTCCAGTGCTCAATGGTTGCACGCGCCTTGTCGGCATACGGCGCAACTCGGTAGTACCCTTCCTTGTTATTGCTTCTAGCTTGTTATGTCGTTCGATGGCATCCGTCCACATAATACTAGATTTGTTTCTAATCATACTGATATTGTCGTATTTCCGAGGGAAAAAAACATGCTATGTATACGAAGCCTTGACGTCACCCATGCCACACGATGTCTTGTTACCTAGTCTTGGAGACGTATGAGAAAACTCCATGACGACCAAGTTTTCTGACCGTTCCAGGTTCGAGACAGTGGCGTTCCTCAATTTCCGTGTAAGGCATGCCCTGATCCCGCAATTTCATGGTATCAATCAAGGTTCTCATATCGATAAATCTTTTGTGCTGCCCCCTACGAAGTCCGATTTTAGCGATATCATCATTCGCCTGCTGTTGGAGATACCGACGGGCTTCCAGGACCGATAATGTAGCATTCTGTTTGGTTGGTGGGTATTGTGTCATCGAAGGATCGCTCACTGCGTTTCGAACATCGTTTCGGGCTGTTAATGACGGTGAGAATGTTGCATTCGGTTGTACCATGCCCATTCCATAGAGACGTTGGGAGAAGTCGGCAGGTGCGAAGTCAGGGTCGCTTCCATCTGCTTTTGCTTCTATTGATTGTCAAAGTTAGTATGTGTTGACTGGGGGTGGTACAGTAAAAATACATCTACATGGGGAAAGACGTCAAATACCATCGCCCTTTTTGCTACTGTCCCTTGATTGTCTTGATTGTCGTGTACTCTGGTCAGCAGGACGTAAATTTGGCGGCGCCTTGCCGCTGTATCTCCATGATGGATATCGCCGTGCAGCTGCCGGAGCCGCGCGGCCAATCTTGGATGCTGAGGAGCCCATGGTACGCTGTTCGGCGACCGGTAAGCTATGTCTTTGACGCTGATGTCCGGAGGTTGTCGTTTACAAGAGTTGTGAACTCATGGCTCACACGCTACCACTGGCTGTTCTGCGAACATGAGTGAGTGGGGCAGTCCTGACCGCAGGCACAATGCAACTTTGGTAACACTATATTTAGCCGCACCAAGGCCAGGGAACCGTCAACTGGTTGATAGTATAATTCACCATGTACTATATACTCCGTATGTACTTGCTGTTTGTCTGAAGCACTGTGCAGCAACGTGGTGCTTGACATATAATACTACGTCATTTACTCCGTACATCACGTAGAACCCGCGAGCAACACTGACCCCTTGGCCGCCCAACTCTCGTTCCTGGCCAGCCGACCGAAACTGCTACACATTGCCACATGCCGGCAGAATACATCAGCAAGTTGTTTTACGATAGCCGAGAGGCGTGATGACTCTAAGAAACACACGCCTCGACGCGTAAAGGTAACTAACACATTAATATCGTGGCGGTACCCCATTCACTACAGTCTCGACCACAAAATTCGACATGCTATAGGGTAAGGCATTGATAGCACAACAATCACGGGGACAAACGACAGCGAGCCGAACAGTGAGTTCGGCCTATGGAACATGGAGCAGTGTTGATACTGATACGGGAAGGACTACAGATACCCACCTCAGTAGGTTGAGGGACAACAAATAGAACCACACTGCGTCGAAAGGCAGGCGCGACAAACAGCCCCCCCACAATCACCAAATATGTGAAGACTGAATGTATGTCCACAACTTGCACATAGTGTATTACATCGCTGCGTTCGCATGGCATAGATCGAGTCGGGCCATAACGTAGCTCAGAATTGATAGTGTTCACTCGAATACTCAATATGAACCTTGAAACCGAACATCATTTTATTTACGTAGCCCACGCCACAATGTTCTTGCCAGACTCTGCTACTGGGCTGGATGTTAGAAGCCTCCTCCTTGAGTTTGCACTAAATGGACTCAACATAGGCGCACGTCGCTGTACCGAGCTCGGGTATTGTAAGATTATATCCCAGCGCAACACAACGACCCTGCCAAACTGTCCTCGTTATAACCATAGTCATCATGTATGAGTCGAGCTCGGGTTCCTGGCGTCTTCGCCAACTTGGACCTGCATGTAGTAGTAGTCCACCTCAAAGGTCCACTCTTGCTTAGACTTGCTATAATTTGCCAGTAGAGCATACCCCCAGACAAAGGCTGGATTTGATCGCGCTGTATCAAGTGATAACCACATGGCTCCGAATTTGCTATCGGCGCTGGCTTCTGCACGTTGTTCGGTTAATCAAATCTGCTGGCCGTTGGTGCCTATGCCGTTTATATATACCAGTTTCAGAGCATGCAATTGCAAGCTATAGCGTGAGACATGGTGATGAAAGATACAGCACGCATTGTCCCAACGAGAGCTCGCGACATGAACTGGTACTACTCGGCCAAGCGGATTATAGTACCTGGGACCAAATGTCGAAAGCATTGTCCCAAGACTGTGCTTGCTTCAGCGTAGTACAGGTGTTGAACTCCTAGCCCCGTAAAGATGGCATGCAATGGCTGCAGTTGGAAGGCATGGGTTATACAAACCGACATTTAGATTATCAGGTTTTTCTGCGTCGTTTGCTTATCAATGTACTAGCACCAGGCGATTTAACAGACGAACCATCGTTCAGGTCCGTAGCTGACGGAGCATCGTGGTCGCTGCTGAATCCTTCGAAGATCTCTTCACTGTCGTAACCCCTCCCATTTCCTAGCTGATCAGCAGTCATTCCCGCGGAAACAGAGTTGGAAGCATCACCGGCCTCTTCTAAGCCTCGCTTCTTGGTCATCTCGCCGAGCCGCCCGTCACGGCCGATGACGCCATCGTCATCAGTGTTTGTAGATGGGGCAGGTGTGAACCAAGGAATTTTGCCCCTCATAAAATCGTTCAACACCATTTTGGCAACGCCATCTAGATCGGGTTCCCCTCCGCGAAGAAGACGGCCACTTTTCCTTGCCAGGAGCTCAAGAAGTTCAACTGCGTTGGCCCAGCCCTTAAGATCATAAGTTTTCTCCATATGATGGCGCTTCACCTTGTTCAGGACAGCAGAGATGTATTGCTCTGGATGCTCTACCTTCTCGACCCGAACAACACCACGTAGAACGAGGTCGGTGGGAGTATCGGTACTAGACGGGGGCACCACACCTGGGCAATCAATAAGGTAAATTCTCTTCATCAGGCTTACGTATTGCCAAACTTTGGTCTCCCCGGGAATTGGGGCTACTGCGCAGACTTTCTTTTTCAAAAGCGTATTAATAATGGACGATTTGCCGGTGTTCGGACCTCCAATTAGTCCAACCGAAATTTGTTTCCTGTCTGCGTGCAAGGAGGAAAACTGTCTCAACAACTGAATAAGGGACCCTTTGCCGAATGAGTTGTTGATGCTGGCATGGAAGGCTAATGTAGGGTATTCCCTAGATAGACTTCGAACCCAGGAGGCCTGGCCATAAGTTAGCGCACAAGCTCCTCATTTTACGCAAGAACGAGACGTCTTTAAACCGAGAAAATGTATGTGTCATCACTAAGAAGTCTCTAATTTGTTCCCGCTAAGGAATATGGAGATTTCAACTCATTGGACACAAAGACCAACTCAAGATAGTGCCAGAACGGCACACATCAAGCCACCAACTAAGGTTAATGACAGACGAGTACGGTATGATTGATATTCCAACGCTGTAACAGACAACCTTCGTGAGAAAAGAATGGAAGGTGTCCTGACAAAAGACATTGGGTTGGGAATCGAGTTTGGGAGACATGGGGGCAAGTTGTGTGGCAACGGTGAATATTGTGTAAGAACTTACAGCGACGCTGGTAGGAACAAGATCACACTTGTTCAATACGAAAATCAAATGCTTGTGTGGCGCCTCTTCCTTGAGATACTTCTCGATGCTGTGGCAACGGGTTCCCACAGGGTCACGAGCATCAAGGACGTGAATGACAACGTCGGAGGAATCGATGACCTTGTACAGCTCATTCCAGATTCGTTTGCTCTGGCCTTTGTCGAAGACGGGCTCAATTGCCATCGTCACCTGTCGCTCCTCTTCATGCTGGCCTGATATCCCGCTCAGCAGCCTAGCTTGCTCTAAGCGATCTTCGTAGGTGTCCATACTCTTCTCAGTATCTCCAGCGAGATCTGTGAGACTGCTAACGTTAAGCTTGACCCGTTTGCGCTGCGCCTTTGGCCCGAATACCTCTGCAAAAGGTGATGTTTCCACCGCCACTTTAGCCTTATGTTGCTTGATCCCCTTGGTGTCTTGACCATCTCGGATGAGGCTCATGGGAAGCTTGTTTGATTTTAGGAGGACCTGATATGGATCATTTGCCTTGTCTGCCATAGCATCACGGAATGCCTTGAGTGTGTCCTGCGACACAACACGAGTATTTGTGAACCACTTTCGATTCGGCTCGATTCGAGCGTCTGGGACATCTTGGGACTGGAAAGAAGCTGCCTTCGTGATTATTCCTTCCGAATTCCTCTGCGCCTTCCCTTCCTTGTACATATTCAAGGTCTTGACTTTCTTCGCATTGCTTGCATGAAACTGTTAGGCTGGCTCACAACTGAAAATGTGAGAAACGAGACGTACCGATAGAAGTTCTCACCCTTGACACGAACATTTGCAAGGCCATCTCCATTTTTCCCTTGGCGAATCCGCCTGTTGGCCTCTTTCTTACCTGTCCCCATGATATCTAAAACCCTTCTCGGGCGAGTTGTGGGTAGGTGAGTTGAGGATGTGAAGGAACAGGCTCGCCTTTTTTTTTTAATGCGCCCGTTTTAAACCAGGTGAGCCCCACCTGGACTTACAAACTGGGTGGTTGGCTGATCCAAAGACTGGGCGGTGAGGATTGCGGAAGTAGATAATCCGGGCCTGTTGATATGCATTCAATAATTTTTTGAGAGCTGAGCTCGTCGACTCTACAGTTATTAGCAAATAATCCTTCGGTGCGATACATCGACAGAAACTGCGCCGACGCTATGTCTCTTAGTGCTCCTGGGTCCCATGTTCGTCTCCAGTTACGACGAGCTCTCTCAATTTCCCACGCGAATTTTTCAACATCAGCCCCTGCCCGAACGAACCGCGTGCCTCCAGAATCACCATCTTACATCCGCCTTCCTACTCCACCTCAGTCCGATGAGACCAAACCTCCTCGAGTACGTGGTCATCTCCCAATTCCGCGTGAGATATTTCCTCGTGTGGAAGGCAGCCGCAAAATACAGCCTGAATACATAAATAAAACCGCACCCCGATCAACAAAATCTTCCCGTGGATCACCGTCGGAGGCGCAGGAATGGAAAACTGCCTTAGCAGAAACTCGACGTACCAATCTCAAAGAAGGTCTAGGTGCACTCTGGCTTCGCCGTCAGGAACTGGATAGGTCTCGCAACGAGCGTGTAAGCCACAAGTTCCATAAGCATAACAAGGCCGGTGCGGCTCCGGAAAGAGACGACGACAAGCTCACACGACCTACTGTTTTGACTGCTATTATGGATACAAAGGTGTATCTTGATCCGGACCGGTTTGCTCGCGCGGATAAAAGTCGTACAAAGGTTCTTGCAAAGGAGAAACAGAAGATGGAAGCTAGGAGGGATGCGCTGATGGAGCTTTACACAAGCGCATCGAATTTTATCGTGCATGAGAATGAGCTGAAGGCGAAGATTGACGAAGTTTTCGCCGAAGATTACTTCAGCAAAAGGAGTGAAGATGGCCATCGTCATGGCACAACAGGGAACATGTGGGGATCATATGGTAAACCACCGTCTATTGCCAACATGATGGAGTCGGCTATTGGAGCGTCAACTAGACTCATGGAAGCCGATCAAACCGAATCTGACCGTTCGGCTAAACGACAAAAGAGAATAGCCGAGGACTTGACTGGCGGAAAGATGATCTAGACGCATTGTCTGTTTGTACAACAAGTATAGTTTGGTGATGGATTGAGAAACTACCTGTATAATTAAAATCCCTTAATAACTGCCTAGGTAGCTGTGATTGCGAAGCCCGACCCTCATAGCCCACATTATTTGTTTGTGTACACAATTCAACCAGTTATCTTGGGAAGGACCTGCTCGGGGCGGGCCAGAAAACAAAACAAAATAAAATGAAACAAGATGCCCCAGACTCGTCGATGTCTAATATCTAACAACATGTGCGCAGCAGAAATGATGTCCCTGACATCACAGCTACTCTTCTGTATTTCTCGCCTTTATCGTTTCTCCACAAGCAGGAAATGCATCGCCGTATATGCCAGGATTATAAAGGTTATAGCAAAGATGCCTAAATTACGAATGTCTGACCACAAGGCACTATTGTCGAAGCCGAATGAACTCAAAATAGCAGCACCAGGCACGGTGATGTCAAGTCCATATTTCTTGTCGACTAGGGTCAGCTCGATAACCTCATTAACTATGAGTGACTCAAACCCGTAGTGGAAGATTGAAACTGACTGAAGCCATAATGCCCCAGGGGGTGTCGCGTCGTGATTGAGCAAAAATCCAGCGAACAGAAGGCTGAAAAGCATAATTAAACTTCCAATCAAGTTCGCAACACCTCCATTTTTGCATAGAATACCAATGAACAAGCAGATGGCAGCAGCAGCTAGATTGAAGAGCACCAAAACCAACATAAATCTGAAGAAATGTGATGAATCAGGTACTAGCCCAGTCATCGGATAAATGATCGATCCCATGAGGATTGGTGGAACAATTCTCAGCGGAATTGTGTCAAACAGAACTTTGGCGGTGAAATATGTGATGGGAGAGTAGTAACCGTTTGCTCGCTCACGCAGAAACAGTAAACGCTCCGTTGAAAATACATTTAAACTAGTGAGAGTGCTGAATCCAAACAAGGCTAGAAGGAAGAAGAAGAGGCCAAGACGATTCTGGAAGCCTGGAATATCATCTGTTAGACCGTAGAAGAGGTATCCTGAAAAAACGGCTAGAATTATGGCAATTGCATAATGTGTAAGCATGAGCATCGGATCCCGATAAAGGTTTTTCCACGTTCTCTGCGAAAGAATCCTGAATTGCCCCAAGTATCCCACACGTGCGTAACCTCGGCCAATAGCACTGAGCGTAGTGCGAGGCCCATCTTCGCTGTGGCTGTTGGCATTCGACCCATTAGCTTGAACCGCAGCTCTCACTGCCTGACGAATTTCCTGATGAGTGGTTTGAGCTATCTGAGACCGGGAAAATGCCCGTGTCATGAGATCAAGATCGGAGTCTGATACGGCGGCTGGGGGGAGATCATGTAGGTCATCTCCTGTTTGCGAGAGCAGCGCGTTTGTGGGATTCAGCTGAAGCTTATAATTGCCCGCCTCATCTCCGCCGGCATCGGAAGAGGCTGCAGTGTCAACAGTTTGCTTTCGTCGAGTGAATAACTGGCGTTCTTGCCGTTGCCGGATTGAGTCCCGGCGGAAGTTCCTCGGCCTGGGTGATGCTGACGGTTCTGCAAAACTATCTCCTCCCGTGCTGTTTCCCGAAATACTCGCTATCGACTTTACTGCTTTTGTGCTGCTGGGCCCGACACTAACCGTATCTACCGCCACAGTCTCATCTTCGATGGAAACTCTTCGGCCGGCATGCATAGTAAGGTCAACTAGATAATCGGCTATGTTGAAGCCCTGAGGACATTCGTAGCCTATAGAGTCAAAATACGGTTGGCATCGTGCAAAAGGGCCGGAAAAGACTGTTTTGCCTCGCGCCAACAGAATAAGACGATCGAACAAAGCCACGATGTTAGATCGTGGTTGATGGATCGTAAATATAACTGTGCGTTGATAACTCTTTGCCAGAGTAACAAGACACTCGATAACATTATAGGCGTTGAAAGAATCTAAACCGCTCGTTGGCTCGTCAAGGAAGAGAATAGACGGGCTAGTGACCAGTTCGCACGCTATGCCGACGCGACGCTTCTCACCACCAGAGATACCGCGACCCTTGCCCTCTTCGGATCCAATCAGTGAATCCCGAATGTGGTATATTCCGAGTTCTTTTTCTACGTCGAAGACTCTCTGCTCTTTCACCGCGTGACTCATATCGCGAGGCAGTCGCAAGAGGGCACTGTTCAGAATTGTCTCATGAACGGTGAGCGTAGGGAGCATGGTATCCTCTTGGTCGACAAAACCAACAACATTTTTGTATTCCGAGCTGCCAACCTTCTCGCCATTCACATAGACGTCGCCTTCTACTAAGCCACGCTTGTTCTTGCGAGCGAGAATGTCCAGGAATGTTGTCTTTCCGGCGCCAGAAGCGCCCATGATTGCTGTTACCTCACCGGGGTGGCACAGTCCTTGGATGCCACTGAGAATAGACTTGCCATTCATTTGGTAAGAGATGTTTTCAAAATATAACGTAGCGGGCTTGTGCTCAGCCATGAGTTTGGTCGTTTCGTCATCGGAGTCCTCCAGACGAATAGCACCGTATCTCAGCTTCCGCCGCGACAGCATCCATGTTATGATGATGATAGCCACGACAAAAAGTGCACAAATGGCGATAACTCCGGCGATAAGAGGTGTGTTGATTTGCTTAACTGGTCTTGTGTAACCTGGAACCTGGGTCTCATGCAGACATTCTCCAGCCTGGCAATCAAGCAGGATGCTAGAATCACCAATGAGGCTGCGGATCAGTTTGTCCATCTCTGGCTCTTCAAAGGCGCAGTCGTGAGCGCCGCCGTTCTTTTGGGTGCATTGAAAACCTCCAGGGCCGCGGATTGCCTGGTCGAGAAAATCGCTCAGATCTATTGACCCGTCCTTGCCACACAGCATGCGCTCCGGGATGCAGCTACATCGAATTTTATCGCAATTGTAGGCTGTTGTGTTCTTAGTATCCCCAAACTCGGCATTTGAATCGCAATCGCTTAGATTGCAATAAAACGATTCGACAGCGTCGACCCAAACTGCGGCGAGGACGTTAGTTTCCGAAAATATAACAGTCAAAAAGGACACAAATGGAAGGCATACACTGAAAATCGCATGTCCTTTCATCTTTCTGGCAAGTAAAAGTTACTTCAGGTCGTTGCTCACCGAGGAGATCCGTGATTTTCCTGTTGGTGACTTTGCAAATTTGGTGGTTATTGCGCACGACCTCTCCATTCTGATAGCAGACGCCGTCATTTCCGGTTTCTACCATTGCGTTGCAAGCTCTGTCATTTGTACAAACATTACAGTTGATTCCTGTCCAACCTTCGTCGCACTCGCAGGTATCACCGGATCGCATCTGTCGGTCTCGACCTTTTGCTAGAGAGCCGCAAACTAAACAAAAAGGGTTTGTCAACATATGATCAATCCTGATATCACGGCTTTGTCCGATATGTATGCATATTTCTGTTCAGACGCAGCACGTACGAGGTTGGAGGCAGTCGTCACCACCGAAGCCTGCTGGGCAATCGCACTTTCCATTGAACTCGTTGCAGCCAGCGTATTGGGCACAGACGTGAGATGGAAGAAGACAGTTAAAGCTACCCATGGTTAGGAATAGAGACATCGTAGTTTCTTCAGTAAATCTTACCAAGGGGGACAGTCACCGGGACGGTCATCCATCAAAGCCAATTTAGACCGTAGCATATCAATGTCCTGGTACGTCGAGTTCCCTAAGGCTGCTACTAGCGAGGGGAGATAAAATACGGCCCCGAAAACCAAGCCTCTCCAAGATGAAGGAGCCATGGCGACAAAATATGCAAACAAAAGCGATACAATCGCAGAAATTAAAAGGATAAAAGCGCAGGAAGTAATGTTATTAAGGACGGTCGACCCAACTGTCTGGTATCGTGACGTCGCCGGAGTGTGGGTCTGTGCTCATTTCGCTGAGCTAAGACTAAACTTTCTGGCTGCAAGTTTTTAGGCCGGAAGTAGGTACATCCGCGACTTAAATGGCACTCCACCCCCGCATGTCGGATCAGCTTCATTGGTTCAGAAGCACAAAAACTATCCGGGTTCATTGCGGTCATTTACTCTCGATTCGTCGAATTCAACCAGCCTTGATGCTCAAAACAACTGATGAGCCGGCCATATTGTGAGTTTGGATTCGGATTTAGAAACCAGACAGTCATTGTGATACCGCTGCGAACTGGACAATGTGCGAAAGAGGAGTCGGGTGAGGGGTAGAGAGGGGGCCTTGGCAGCTTTGAGCTTCTTGCCAAGCTTAATGTGCTCAAACTATTGACCTTTTATCAAAGCTCCCAGTACCAGGACTGGAGCCTGCAAATGGATGTCCCATGATCGAATTCTTATCCCTGTCTGGCTATGGTTTTGTGGAGATTGTGAGAGGTAGTGCCATGAGGCGCACCTATCGCCACAAGTGTAATAACTTCCCCATCAAAATGTTAAATGCCTTCTACATGACAGTACTTGTTAGTAAGTAGTGCCACCGTGACATTTTAAGGTACCTAGGTACTTGGTACTTAAGTAGGTATTCTAATAAATTACCACAGTACAAATCTTTGCATATCCCCTAAAAGCAGCGAAGACTACAAAGATGTAGCTGCGGGGATAAGCAACCAAGTAAAAGCTAATTTCACATGGTACCTTAATCCCTTAATATTTTATATGATAATATAAGTACCCATAAAAAATATAGGTTACAAAACGCTACCTCATAAACGCTATAATCTTCACTATTATTAATGTCTCTTGACGTCACCAGCTGTACCCGGGGCCCTGTGGATACTGTGACCTAGTTGTAGTCTTCGCTGCTTTTAGGGGATGTACCTACAATGTACGGAGTACAGTGACATCTATTTTTCTATCCATGGCCACTAGACCTTTCTACATTTAAAGAGCTTGGCCGCAGTCAGAAGCCACGGTCGCGTTCCCGTCACTCTTTCACGTCTTGTCTGTTCCTTTCCCTAGGTTAACCTGAGATGAAACTCCAGTCTATGTGATATTCTTATCCATACTATACTTGATTAACGGTAACGGAGTTGAACTACATCCACTTGACCTCTACTGCTTTATAGGTTACCATCGCAAAAAATGGTACTCTTCAAGCCATTTGAAGTAGAGCAATGGATGGATGCATATGAAAACACGCCAGACGTTTTGAACGTCGCTGAAACGTGCTGCTCTTCGATTTCTATTGACGAACTTTCGCGTTTCTCCGACGACAAGCTTAACCCTTTGCGCATACCGACATCTGGAAAACTTACGTATGGCTCTATTCTAGGATCTCCAGCCTTGCGGCAGAGAGTCGCCACTCTTTGTAGCGACGCCAGTCGACATTGCTTGACCGAGGATAATGTCATGATAACACAAGGTGCCATAAATGCCAACTTTCTTGTTCTGTATAGCCTGATTGGGCCTGGAGATCATGTCGTCTGCGTCTACCCAACCTATCAGCAATTATATTCTGTCCCAGCTAGCCTTGGAGCTGATGTATCCTTGTGGGCTCTGCGGCCAGAGGCCGGCTATATCCCCAGTGTTGATGACCTGAGTACTCTCATTCGGGACAATACCAAGGTATGTGAGAGCGGTTCATTCCGGCCACCTGGATGTGAATCATATTTCACTAAAGCTACTGCCTAGATGATTATTGTCAACAATCCAAATAACCCAACTGGTGCAGTAATTCCCCGCGGAATACTAGAGAAGATCGCCGCCTTAGCGCAAGAGAGGGGTGTCATTCTCATGTCAGACGAGGTGTATCGTCCCCTGTTTCACAACGGACATAACGATCCTAGTTCTCCGCCTCCAGCCACCGCCTTAGAATATGAGAAGATTATAGTTACCGGGTCCATGTCGAAAGCATTTGCACTGGCGGGAATAAGGATAGGCTGGGTCGCTTCGAGAGACCGGGCCATCTTGGAAAGGCTGGTCGCTGCTCGGGACTACACAACCATCAGCGTGTCTCAACTAGACGATCACGTCGCCTGTTATGCATTGTCATTGGAAGTCAAGGACCGATTATTGGGGCGCAATGTTGCTTTAGCAGCGAAAAATCTATCCCTCCTGAAAGAATTTGTTGACACTCATAGTGATATTTGTCATTGGACACAACCCTCTGCGGGGACCACGGCATTCATTCAGTTTTGTTTCAAGGGTCAGCCGGTTGAAGACGTATCATTTTGCAAGGACCTCCTCCGGAAGACTCGAATTCTGTTCTGCCCAGGCTCGCTTTGCTTCGGTGGCGGCAAAGATTTCCTTGGGTTTGTACGAGTGGGGTATGCCTGCGAGACTGCAGTGCTGCAGGAAGCTTTGGCGAAGCTGGATAAATATGTTAGACAACTGGTGCACGGAAAAGGGGATAGAAATCGGTTGATGATGGCAAAGAAACATAATGGTTATTGATGACAAGTGAGAGAGAAGAGAATAAAAGTTGCCTCGACGAATTGTTACTATTATAGGGCATACATAGTGTTGGGTACGAATTTGTTGATCGTATCTTCAGGATACTCTGGCCCTATTGCTATTTTTGGCCCAACCCGTGTTGTCTAGCGTTACCTCAATGCACGGGCTGCATGTAACCAAAACACTGGTGGGACAGATGTCATATGCATGTAAACTGGTTCCCTCGCTGCTCCTGCTGAATCGACTCTGATAAACCTGCCTACCTTAGGTACTTACCTAGTAGGCAAACTATGTCAGCGGGTCGGGCCGCAGCACTCACTGTTAAGCACCGGTGCGTACATATTCTATTCTAATAGTATAGGGCTTCTTTCATGAAAGAGAAGCGAGGTAGTGATGTTCTTATATATATGTATTATCTGTGTGTTGATTTTCATGCTCAAGGGTGCGATAACTACCTAGGTAGTTAGGTATGTCGGAAATTTGTGGCTTTGTGTACAGTTGTGAGTGGCTGAGCACAGAAGTTGGCACTGGTATCAGCCTCTCGCCCACTATTTCCCGCTAGTCTGTTGATGACGACGCTTACGGCTCGAACTTGCCGACATTACTTAGACTTTCATGTGCCGGTGTGGCCGACATCCGCAGCATCAATGTCGCCATATGTTTTGTCACTATGTTATAAATTTCTCTCTGGAGAGCTTTTGCCGAACCCCTTTGGATCCTAGATGGTTTTTCCCGAGCTAGAACTTACCCCGATCCTTCGTTTTCTTGCCTTGGTCAGAAGCCTGGGAGTGGTCGTGCGACTGAGCAGCAACTTTTCACATCTGCTACCTAGGCTACTTCAGCTAGAGAGTCTCTGATACGCGCATTTTAGAAAGAAACGATCGGAACGTTCGCTATGAAATACTCAAGTGCCGTGTACGCTTGTATCTCCTCAGTGATCATACTGGCACCAACTGTGTTTGGACAGGTGGTTCGATGGGATATACAGAAACACCATCAAGCCAACGGGCTCCGGCGCCGGGCGGGAACCCTCCAGTCGGACGCATCCAATGATAAGGCTCAAGGAGGATACTTTGTGGCAGTTCAAATTGGAACGCCTGGCCAGGAGCTTTCTCTGCAGCTTGACACTGGTAGCAGCGATGTCTGGGTACCGTCCAGTAAGGCCCCTGTCTGTCTGGATAAAGCTCAAGGCGGGTGCCCATTAGGCTCTTGTAAGTTATGTCATATACGAGTTTGAATGCATAGAACCAATCACACACTAACTGATTATCGCTGCAAGTTGACTTCGACCAATCTAGTACGTTCGACGTCATTGTCTCAAACGGTTTCCATATATCCTATCAAGACAACAGCTCGGCAAGTGGCGACTACTTTGCAGACAAGCTAGAGATAAGCTCAAAATCATTAAACAACTTCACTATGGGCCTTGGGAAGAAAACGGACGTACCGTTTGGCCTGATAGGAGTTGGCTATGCTGGAAACGAGGCATCGACGGAAACCGAAAACGCGATATACCCGAACCTGCCCATAGCTATGCAGAAGGCTGGTGTCATAAATACTGTTGCCTATAGCTTGTGGTTGAACGATCTGGGAGCTAGGACAGGAAATATTCTCTTTGGTGGTATCGACACCGAGAAATATGTAGGAAACTTGACAAAACTTCCCATACAAACCGAAAATCAGCAATTTACCCACTTCATTGTTTCCTTGTTCTCTCTTGAAGCCACGAGCCCTAGTGGAAATGACGTTTTGACATCAAGCGAGCTACCTTTGAAAGTGGTCCTTGATTCCGGCACAACTCTCAGCTATTTGCCTCCGGATATGGCAGCCCAAGTTTGGAGCGAAGTAGGAGCAACCTACGATGATGTGTCTTTCCAGACAGCCATCATACCATGTTCTTACGCAAGTCATGCTGGTCATTTCTCTTTCGTTTTCTCTGGGCCTGGCGGTCCACGCATCAATATCACTATGGATGAACTTGTCCTACCATTGACGGATGGGGAGCCACCGACGTTCTCATCAGGCCCTCATAGTGGCCAAGCCATCTGCGAGTTTGGTATTCAGAAATCATCGGACACACCATGGCTTCTAGGGGACACGTTTCTACGATCTGCCTATGTCGTCTACGACTTGATGAATAATGAAGTGGGCATTGCACCAACTGACTTCAATTCGACAAAGTCAAATGTCGTAGCATTTGCGAGCAAGGGAGCAGCTATCCCTTCGGCCACTTCAGTAAATAATAGCAGTCAATCGGGAATGCAGTCGCAACCAACCCAAACTGGCCTATCTGCTGCAAAAGGGTTTCAAGAAGGCAGTTTGGCCTGCTCACTTGAACCGCTGTCAGTTTTCTCATTGACTCTTATCAGCATGGCCATTACCGCCCTGTTGATGGGCAGCCCAATTTTTACAGATTGATTAGTTGTTTCTCTCTCTTTTCTCGACGTTCTTCCAATGTTGGCAATCGCATGTTTTTGTCATGGTGTTCTAGGTGCTTGTGAGGTTGAAACCTGCTTGGTGGATTGGGAGTTTAGAGAAACGTTGCATACCTGGGTTGGAGTAGTGTAGGGGCCGGAGACACTAGGAGAACCATGTTCAAACAAATCAGACCTATGTACGAAATTGAGATTATTTCCTGACATGTGAATTTATAACTAGATTGTAAAAGTTTTGCTGCGGACTTGTCTGATTTGCGATTGCCCAATAGGAGGTGCCTCAGACCGTAGTAAGCCACGAAGGCACGTGAGATCCCGATAACTACCAGTGGCGCATGCAGGGTCCCCTAAAAGTTTCCTGTGGTAGTTGGACCTCTTGTGACTTCAACAAGCAACCTCCGGCGTGCATTGAACGCAATTCACAGCATGAAGACATCCGTGGCGGCTAGGCTACTCGGCTGCCGTCTTTTGTTCAATTTACAACGGCGGCCTGTCAATTCGCTTTGCGGGAAGCTCGATCTGCCGACAGTGAGCTACCCGATTAAAAGAGCCCTCAGCCAAACATCATTGCGCTCGGCCACAGCGGCTCAAGAAGCGTAAGATAAACATACCAAGCTAAATTACTATATCCTTTTTTTCTTTTTGGGAGCACTGGGACTTAGATCAATTAACTAAGATTTTTCTTTGCCTACGGAGCAGGTTGAAGAAAGCCCAAGAAGATGCCGCAAGTTTGACAGTTGAGTATGTTGAAGCCAATATGGCACCCGAAGAGGTGCAGAGGCTCTCCAAAGTCAGGAATATAGGCATTGCGGTAAGAACTCGTCGGGATTTACTACGAATAGACGATGGCTGACGCTTTGTTTCTGTAGGCGCACATTGATAGTGGCAAGACAACGGTGACCGAGCGTGTTCTTTTCTATACTGGTCGAATCAAGGCTATCCACGAGGTCAGGGGCAAAGACGCCGTTGGCGCAAAGATGGATTCTATGGAACTCGAAAGAGAAAAGGGGATCACTATTCAATCCGCGGCTACATTCTGCGACTGGAAAAAAAAGGAAAATGGGAAGGAAGAGACGTATCATTTCAACTTGATCGACACGCCTGGCCATATTGATTTTACGATTGAAGTCGAGAGAGCCCTTCGTGTCCTTGATGGTGCCGTCATGATTCTTTGTGCCGTCAGTGGCGTCCAGTCGCAGACCACAACCGTGGATCGTCAAATGAAGCGATACAATGTTCCCCGGATTTCATTTATCAACAAGATGGATCGCATGGGTGCCAACCCGTGGAAAGCCGTGGAGCAAATTAATTCCAAACTAAAAATGCCAGCCGCCGCAATCCAGATTCCCATCGGAGCTGAAGATGAGTTTGAAGGCGTTGTCGACTTGATCGAGATGAAGGCGATGTATTTCGAAGGTCCCCGAGGAACCAAAGTCAGATCTGATATCATCCCTGCTACTTTGAGAGAACTAGCAGCAGAGAAGCGCCAAGTGCTCATTGAGAAATTGGCCGATGTTGATGACGAGATTGCCGAAATTTTCCTCGAGGAACAGGAGCCCAGCAATGAGCAGATCAAAGCAGCTATCCGACGGGCTACGATTGCACGCAACTTCTCACCCGTCTTGATGGGCTCCGCTCTGGCGGACAAGGGTGTACAACCAATGCTTGATGCTGTTTGTGACTATCTACCAAATCCATCACAGATTGAGAATACCGCTCTCGATAAGTCCAAAGACGAACAAGTCGTCAAACTAGTTCCGTACAATTCGTTACCTTTCGTTGGGCTTGCGTTTAAGCTCGAGGAGAACAACTATGGCCAGCTCACTTACATCCGGGTTTACCAAGGAACCCTCACCAAGGGAACGTATCTGTTTAACTCCCGAACGGACAAGAAGGTCCGAATCCCCCGCATCGTCAGAATGCACTCTAACGAAATGGAAGATGTGTCTGAAGTTGGTGCAGGGGAAATCTGTGCGGTATTCGGGGTTGACTGTGCATCAGGAGACACGTTTACGGATGGGGGTCTGCCTTATACTATGTCGTCAATGTTTGTCCCTGATGCCGTCATGTCTCTATCCATCAAGCCAAAGCGAACGGCGGACGCAGACAATTTTAGTAAGGCTATGAATCGATTTCAGCGCGAAGACCCCACGTTCCGAGTGCACGTGGACCCTGAAAGCGAAGAGACCATTATCTCTGGCATGGGCGAACTGCACTTGGAGGTCTACGTTGAGCGGTTAAAGCGTGAGTACAAGACAGAGTGCATCACTGGACAGCCACGTGTTGCCTATCGAGAGACAATTTCTCGTCGTGCCGAGTTCGATTACTTACTTCGCCGACAGAGTGGCGGTCCTGGTGACTTTGCCCGTGTGGCTGGATGGATTGAGCCAAATGAGACGCCGGAGGATAACCATTATGAAAGTCAAGTTGTCGGCGGCCATATCCCAGATAAATTTCTAACAGCCTGTGCTAAGGGCTTCGACCTGACCTGTGAAAAAGGTCCTCTTCTCGGACACAGAGTCATCGGAACCAAGATGGTCATCAATGATGGTGCCACCCATGTCACGGATTCCTCTGATTACGCCTTTAGCCTGGCGACGCAGATGGCCTTTCGAAAGGCATTCACCGATGCGGGCGGCCAGGTTTTGGAGCCGTTGATGAAGACAACCATCACAGCACCTAACGAGTTTCAGGGCAACATTTTGATGCTCATGAATAAGAGAAATGCAACTATTCACGACACAGAAATTGGAAGTGAGGAGTTCACATTAATCTGTGACTGCAGTCTCAATGCCATGTTTGGTTTTAGTTCTCAACTAAGAGCTGCGACGCAGGGAAAGGGAGAGTTCAGCATGGAATTCAGCCATTATGCCCCTGCCCCACCTCATTTGCAGTGAGTTAATCGAATTGATTGCTAATTTTGAGGGCAGTAAGAATCGCATGCTGACTGATCGCTTAGGAAAGAGCTAATCGCTAAATACGAGACTGAGCTCGAAGCGAAGAGAACGAAATAGATTGAAAAATATATGTCTGGTCTAGAGCCCTGACTAGACTGCGGTGTGATACCACTCTCATGTAAAACAATATGTAGACTAGAGCTATTTCCGATAAGATGACGTTTCATAGATCATTTGCAGCACAGGAATTGTTGCGCTATGGGTTTGGAAGGGTGGTAGACAGAAAAGTACTGTGATGAAAATAGAAGACGACGAACCACCCAATGTATTTACGGCAAGATCAAGAACACGTACTGATTACCTAGACAATTTTACAAAACTTCCATTGCGCCTACGTATAACGAAACAGAAGAATGCTCGCAGCATGTTCTACAACTTCTTGAGAATATCCTCAACCACTTGCTCCGTAGTTGCTGAGCCTCCTAAATCTGGGCTAAGAAGTTCACCCTCCTCTAAATTAGCATCAACGGCCGCATAAATCTTTGCAGCAGCGGCGGGTTCGTCCAGAAACTCGAGCATCAGCGCGGCACTTCTCACTGTAGCAATGGGGTTTGCGACACCCTTGCCCATGATATCTGGCGCGCTGCCATGACAAGGCTCTCCGATGGCAAAACCCTCGCCAACGTTGGCGCTTGGGACAAGGCCCAAGCTCCCGACTAACGCAGCAGCTCCGTCAGATAAAATATCCCCGTAGAGGTTAGGAGCGACAATGACATCGTAATCCTCTGGTTGGCGGAAGAGCTTGTACACCATAGAATCAACAATTTGCTCTTCTACTTTGACAGTAGCAAACCTCGGATCGGCGAGCGCCCGCTTAGAGGCTTCGCGGAATAAGCCGTCCGTCTGAGAGAGTACGTTTGATTTGTGAGTGATGGTCACAAGAGGCTTTTTGTGAATACTGGCGGCTCCCGACTGCCTAATTCTATCGCGCCGAATAGCAATGTCGCCAGCCATAGCGGCAATTCGAAGCGATGCCTTCTCTGAAATGCGCTTAATCGCTTCAGCAACCTTGCCGTCGGGGCCGTCAAAAGTCTTCTCCTGCTTGACATAGAGATCTTCCGTGTTTTCGCGGACAATGACCATATCAATAGGTTTGGGGGCAGTCATCACAGTCTTCACAGGGCGAACATTGGCATACAGGTCGAGACGTTTGCGGAGGGCGACTATAGGTGACGAATAGCCTTTGACGGCATGCGTTGGCGAGCTGACAGCACCAAAGAGTGCACCATCGCACTCATTTCGAAGAACATCGACAGTGGCTTCTGGTAGGGCTGTTCCGGTCTGCTCAAAAGCTTCGAAGCCGGCTTTGAGGTTGACAAAATCGAACTTGAGGTTGAGGTAGCTGGGCAGGGCCTCTAGGACTCGACGACCGGCTGGAATGACTTCTTTGCCAATCCCGTCACCAGGGATGAGGCCTGCATTGTTCAGTTGGAGGTTAGGGTGTGCGCTGTGGAAATGGATAGGACGGTGGAACCATACCTATTCTAAGTGTACGGAAAGACATCTTGTCACTTGCGGCGGCAAGATGTGCTGTTGACAAGTAAACAACTGCAATTGTGACACAGCGAATGCGGTGTTTGGAGAGCGGAAATTTTGTGGCCCTGCAAGCCGAGAATCGGAGATGAGAGCTGGGCGTGAGTGATGTTTCTTCCTGCAGCATTGGTCCGCCCGCCCCAACCAGCCCATGTCCCACTTAAGCACTCTACAATAAACGAGCAGTGAGAAGGAATATCATCCTACTAGTAGCGGGAACATTTACTCCCATCTCACCGCACAGGGTTCGGGAGGCATTGTGGATGATTATCCATGCCACTACGCCTGTCTTTGCTCTTGATGTTTTTCTACAACACCCATGATTGGAATTGACCCATAAGCAAGCTGCAAGATAGACCTGATAGACTGTCTCGTGGTAAAAAAAAAAAAAAAGGTTAGGGTTTGAAGCGGAAACAGAGTCCTTTGAGTTAAAATTTGTGATTAAGGGGTATATTAAAATAAATCACTTATAATAGATACGAATTACGTACCTATAAACTTAATAAGAGTAAGCCTTAAACCGTAGGTAGGTAACTATAATAATAAGCACACGTATAAAAAAGGGCGTATACGATTCTTTCTTTTATCCCCTCTAGTGCGATAAGGCTCTAAAGGGGTTACAAGCTCTATAATACCTATGCTAATAGCGGGTAACCTTAAAGCGACCTATTAATCGCGCTAGAATTATATTAAGTTAAATGTAGTAATTTATAAAATATTATCTTATAGGCAGAGCATTAACAAGAAAACTACATTTTCAATTTTCAAAAAAGCTTAAATAATTAATAATAAATCTAATAAAATACTTGAATTATAATAATAAATATATAAATTAGCTAATATTATAACCAATCAGCTCACATAAAAAAGTGGGTCCTTCTAGCTTATTATAAGCTTAAAAACTAGATTATGTAATTTTCTACACTTATTATTACTTAATATTATAATAATTAAATGTACCTTTTTAACATTAGCTTCTTATTAGATATATATCCCTGCAGATACTCGATTGGAGCCTTATCGCACCAGAGGGGATAGCTACCTAGGTAGTTATGGACTTGTATTAATACATTATCATGACAATTAGTGCCACTCAAAGTGTGACAAAGGTCCAAGTGAGGTATCGGGCCCACTTTTCTGCGATACCTAACAGGTACGTCTTCGGTAACAACACTAGCTACGGAGGTATGTACAAAGTCGGTAGGTGCCGTGCCTTGGGTAGATTGTGTCTGGTATGTACGGAGTACAGCAGGTCCTTCAATGTTGCTCCACACCAGCATAATAACAGACCCAGGGTAGCCCCTTGTTTCGTATCAGTACCATGATGACAGTACTACCAAGCACAAGTACCGTCTGGTAGGTACAGACCTTATGGGGTAATTGCCATGCTTTGCAATTTGCTTTTGTCTGGCGTTCAAAGCCTTGTCATGATCGTTTTCGGCCATCTGTTATTCTCCCTGCACTAGTCAAATATTTAACCATTGTTATCTTTACCTAGTCCCAAGCCAGAGCAAAGATGAGCCAGGTCAAGAACCTGCGAGCCATGTTTGAAAACAAAGGCGATACAAGCCCGCCTGACAGAGGGAGATCTCCAGGCATCACGCCCGGTAGGCATATCGGAAGTAAGTCCCGGGGAGGGGGGGGTTTGGTTTATCGAAGTTGTTCTTTAGCCTCAGCCTCGTCGACTGTGCTGTACCTGCTACTTTCACGGTCGTATGCTCGCCTAAGCAGAAGTCCCTGTTTGCGGTGCCAGAGCCAGGCTTGAGATTGTTGGAGGAACGCTTGCGCTTTTAGCAAAGTCACCAAGTTATCGAGGGGCTTATGATGGATTCAGGCTGATTTATGCTTTTGTGATGCAGACGCCAGCTCCAATGGCTCACCGCGGCCGCTCTCCAAGGTTCGCACAAACTTTGTTGCAATTGAAAAGGACGGCCGCATGGGTTTAAGAAGAGATCACAGCGGCGAATCGAGCTTGTCGAGAAGAAGAATGAGTATCGAAACTGCGGACACCGAATCCAACAGCAACTATCCCGATAATCCCAATACAGTACCATCAGACGATGTGGGTAAAGCTTCACGTCGTAACATCGCCAGCGAAACTATCCCCGAATCCCCGAGAATAATGTCCCAGGAACAGGCTGGGGTTTCTGTACACGCAGGCTCACAACTGGACAAGGCGCACATAGAAGCCAGAATGAAGTCGCGTTCGCCTCCACACCTCCGGGGCGAACAAAGAGGAACAGGCTCCGCGGGAAACGCAGAATTAAATTCTGTCCCGGCTACGAATCGCTCCCAAGGCAGCAAGCACAATGGGCACCTCTCTGTCCAAGATAAAATGATTACGACAGGACCAACCAAAAGTTCCAGTGAAAGTTCTGCTGCCAGACCAGAACCAAGGGCGAATAATAGAGGCCTCAAAACCAGCAATCCGTCTGCTGATAAGACCCAAAAAGTCAATACCGGGCAAACCTCATCCACCAAAGCGAGAACGGTTCCATCAGGGGTTGTAGCCAAAAATCAACCTGTCAAGACAAAGAGCCAGAACGATGCGGGCTTTATCAAGCCGAAGCCAAAATCACCCACCAAGCAAGTTCAAATGCCATCATCACTCACCGCACCGACAGCATCTTCGGTATCGAAAGTGCACGTACCTCGTCGACCTCTTTCCCGCCAATCCGGAACTCAAAATAACCCAACTCAACCCAGTATTCGATCAAATATGTCGACTTCTACGGCTTCACACTCTTCCATCAAGGGGCAAGGCTCGTCTTCGTCGAGGTCCCGACCAAGTCTTGGACCACCTCCAAACAAACAGTCGCAAGTTACGGTCAGCCACAAAAGGCAGAGCAATGTCGACGAAGGATTCCTAGCACGTATGATGCGCCCTACACAGTCATCGTCTTCCAAAACTACCGATAAAGCCCCTGTCACTCCACCGAAAAGAGCTGCCCAGAGACCAGTAGGTGGTGAGCATAGGAATCAAGCACTCCTAAGGTCGGCGAGCAGTAGGGGCCTTCATGGTAGAAGGATTCCAGTGCTTGCATCATTACAGTCAACCTCGGCGCCACTAGCTGGTCCTACCGATGAACCTGACCCCCGCAAACCTGAGGAAGAATGCAAGGAACTTCATATTGACACCAATAATCAATCGCTAATAGCAAATGCAGACAAAGACGCCAGTTCTCCTTCAAATACTGCCACCAAGTATACAGTCGAGGAGAAAGACGTGTTAGCTGCTCCAGAAGGGCTGGAAAGATTTGAAACCCTGACCACTAGTTTGACTTGCAACACGAACTCGGCCATGAATGATCTTGCTCATAATAGTCAGTTACGAGAGGAAGCTGACGATTCCAAGGCTTCACTTGCTGCAGGACCCACACCACTGATTCTTGAGCCGACGAAAGCTTCTGGATCTGTTGGCAGCGACGAGACAGCCAGCCAGGATAAACAGTCTGGTGCAGTTGAGGAGGTTGATGTAGCTCCAGAAGCCACGAGCAAGCAGCAAAACTGCAAGGCTGACCTAGTGTCAGAGACGGAAGAAATACCTCAAGGGCCAGCTGGGGACTATCTGGCCAACGAGGGGCTGATGACTGCTGAGGATTATCAGAATAGTGACCTAGTCGAGACGGATCTTGCTGAGCAAGCAACATACCCCTGAAGCCTGCACTGCGCCGTTTGGTGTCACCAGGCCATGTGAACAGAGCATTCAACAAGTGATTCCAAGTACTCGAAACCACCTTGTATCAGGAAAAAACAGCCATTCACCTCTGGAGATCACACAGACCGGTCTTGACGCCGACAAATCCGACGGTATCCCTAAAATGTGAGCTGTTTTGGATGAACAGAAGCAACCTGCGGTTCAAGGCCATGAGGGCATGGCGGAGGTGGCCAGAAACAGAACATGTTTGAACCTCTATGAGCAGCGATCTTGAAAACACGGATGTCTAGGTGGGCGGTCACGTAGCGGGTGCGTGGACTAGTTGATTGATACGTGGTCGTCGACCCTGTCCATTGTCAATTCTTGATTTTTCTTCCCTCATTCATTGCCTGGGCGACGCAATTTAGTTGGGATTGTTTATATTTAGCAGAACAGATACCTTGCATAGCTGCACAATTAAGCGTTCGATTTGAAAGTGGCAGCCAAGAGTGGTCCGACGTGATATGTACATGCTATAATTGCATCCAACTACAAAGGGGCGACCGTTTTTGGTTCTAATCATACAAGTATGAGAGATCTGCGAAACAAACGAGCAAGCTCCCAATATGCTCAACCAAAAATGCTATCTCGTCTAACCCCATCATGATATCCTACAGATCAGCAAACCGCCTACCTTCCTTGACAATGCTTCCCTCGCCTCCAGGACTCCCCTTGATGTTGCCACGAACATGCACTCTCCTAAATTCAGACCCGGGACTACACCACCCTTCAATTTTGCTGGAAATCCTCTTGTCAGTCTTCCCAACTCCTTAATATCAGCAGTCATCAACCTCGAGGGCTTGCTGATCATAGTTGCCTTGGACAACACCGGTTTCCCATCCCAGTACTTAAGACCCAGCCATATCCTCATCTTGGCTACGTTGGCAGTTGTGACCTTCTCCGGTGGTTGTGAAATCATTTGCTCTGCGGTAGGGGGCTGCGGACCGGATCGGTAAACGGACGAGAAGAAGCCTGAGCGGTGAAGAGCGAGCGCGAGGTGTAGGTTGTATTTGTTGTTGGAGACGGACGTGAGGCCTAGGCGGGCTTTGGATGCATTTTGGAGGTGGGAGCACATGTGCGCGATGTTTAGAACCGAGGGCATGGTGATACTAGTTGCACTACTCGATAATTCGAAATGTAAGTGGCCGACTGTTGCCTGGACAGAAATTTAAGCTTCGCAGATTCTGGGATTAACCCGACAAGAATGCTTGGTAGACCTTTCAAGATTAATGTTAGCATGACGTCCAAATTTCAATATGAGAGGGGCACAAACAAATCCGGAAATACGTCTTGGTCGTTAACAACTGATTTACATATAGGTATAAAAGCGACGATGTATGTTAATATGCAATGCAGCCGTGGTTGGAAATAAAGCGCTTGCAATCATTTAGAGGATCAACGTGTTATCGTCAGGTCAAATCCTGGGGCAAAAATTGATGGATGACTAAGCCACATGTCCTGGAGAGCCCGGCCTTTCTTTTACTTTTCCGCCATAAATGCACTAACTTGTCTTCCGAAGGTTGATACTCTACCGATTGATCTGCATACTACCTACCTACCTAGGTACCTACTAGGTAGGTAGGCAGTTAGTACCTGTTCAATTGCCCATGTACCGACCTGGGTATCGACATGGCATTTTACCACCTCCATTTACATGGATTTTTCCATCGCTACGCTGCCGAATAAATCAGATACCTACCTACCTAGGTACCTAATACCTAGTAGTACTAGGTGTATGTACTTCGGTAGATACCTAGACGTCGGACGAAGCTAGCCACTGTGATTCTTTGAGCAGCTTTGCCAAAAAGAGTCTGCGTATTGCTCTATGACAGGCGGCATGACCCGATACGCTAGCAGAGTTTAAATAATGAACAGATAACATTTGAACAATCATAATAAAAGGAGCCAGATGATATACCGTAGGGAAAAAAAAAGAGAAAGGGCCGCTTTAAATGCTACACGCTGCGCATCACATTATGAGATGCGGGATGTAAACCCGTATCCGTAGAAATAAGCATTTATTATGCCGGACATTTAAGTATGGTGTTCACAGAAGTCTAGTTGAAACCCAAGATCCCGGCTGCCGTGGAAAGAAGAGGCCTCCTATATCGATATCCAAAAATCAGGAATGCAGCGGCGACAGGACCTGTGATGCATGCAACAAATACCCGCATAAGTATTCGGCCCTGGTGGTCGCTCTGCCTCACAATATCGCTGTAACCTTGGTTACTGAAGCTGACTCTTGAGTATTTCGTTTGCCAACCAAAGTTTGGAAAGTTCACACTCATAAACTCCTCCAAGAATTTCCGCAGTCTATAACGCATGGATAGCACCGAAGACCTCATTTCAACATAGTTTTGCAAGGCCAGTTCGTTGATAGCATATGCGTCTGGTGCCCGAACATCCGAATACTCTGCCAATGCCTCAGCCCTCGAAGACATAGACATGGGAGATGACATGTGACTCTCGACAGTGGAATTGTTATTCTCAAGCATCTCGTTATGCTTGTCGAATATGGAGAAAAGGATACGAACATCTTCCATTCCGGCGTTCATGCCTTGTCCGTAAAAAGGCACCATTGCGTGGGCTGCGTCTCCAACGATGACCGCAGAGGAGCTGTAGTGATACGGACGGCATTTAAGGCTGATTAGTGGTAGATGGGGGTTTGACTGAAACGACGATATGAGGCTTTCTCCGGGAATGAGGTCGGTTACTCCTGGAAAATACTGGTCGAAGAAAGATGGGAGCTGAGCTGGGTTGTTTTCCAATGCAGCAAACTGCTTGCTAGGAAGGAAGAGGGTGCTTGTAAATGATCCATCCTGTGGCGCTCAATTTAGCATGCACATGCCAAATCAAGGGTGGGAACGCAAATAAACTTACCTCACTTGGGATAGCAATAAACATGAAGTCCCGACCAGGCCAAATATGTAAATGGTTTTGTGAGATCCGAAACTTTGACCCATTCTCCCCATGTGATTGCCCTTCCTGCGGCTCGATGCGGAACTCGCACCAAAGGGTATCGATGTATTCTTGTTGATAATCCATTCTCGTGAACTTCATCATGTGGTATCTCACTGCGGAATGGGCACCGTCAGCACCAATCATGAGATCAAACGAAATCTCAATTTCCCTTGGGCGACCATTAGGGGACACATCTACGTCGCGGGCTTCGAACCAAGCTCGCCGCGCGCGAAAATCAGCTCCAGTCAGCTTGTGGTTGAAAAACAATTTGACGTTCGGCATGGAGTCTAGGACGTTGAGAAGCTTCTCGTTTAGTCCGGATCTATCAATGGCATATATGGCCTTTATCTAGTGTTAGTATACGAGACCGTCAACGGATTAGAGGCCAGGAACCGAGTCTTTTACATACACGCCCTTTGGCATCGTAGTCTTGAGCATGTTCATACAAATCGCCTAATGGACTCTTGCCGTGGATCATGCGACCTCGCATTGGAATAGTGCCGGTCATTACTGTTTCTAGGAGACTGGGATGGCCGGCACTCCGCATTGCGTTAATGCCACGTTCTGATACCGCCAAGTTGATTGACTTTGTAAAGTTCAAGGGAATCGTTCCGGGATTGCGCAAATCTACATTTTTGTTAGAGTCTAGAGTACTTGAAAAAACGCTATCGAAGAACCCTGCACAGGTAGTTGTCACTCCGTCGAGGGCGGAAATGGTTGGGATAGAAGCGGTGGGGAAGAGAGCAGCAGCAGGAACCGCAGCAATAAGGGAAAGAAGAAGGAGCAGACGAAGGCACGGCGGAAGTGAGAGTACTCTGTCCATTATTCTTCTCTGGACAACTTGAAAGACCGGAACTGGAGGGCGGGCTTCTTCAGGGGTCAATTAAGGCTGGACGCAAAATGAGAGAGAGGGCAAGAAACATGAAAGTATAAATATGTTTAGAACCAAAAAAAAATAGTCCTATTTGTTCAGATTCGAGGAAATCTTACCTGGGCGTAGTTCATAGACCTCAACTTCATGACCACGCTGAGCGGCAAATAAAGCAGCCAGAGAGCCAACAGGCCCAGCTCCAACGACCACTGTCTTCTGTTGAACAGACATTGTTAAGGAATCTTGTTTCCTGATGTAGATTTGCCGATTATTGAAGACAATACAGCTATCCGGACTGAAGCAGCGCGTCCTATCACGCAGTGCTATAAGACGTTCATCCAAAGGGCTTCAAAAGTCGACTTGTCGCCGGCAACTGGATTGCAATCATTTTTAGCGGTTGACTGCCCTGCTTTTCCAGCAAGGACCCACTATTCCACTTTCCAGTCTTCAAGCTCGCACTCGCTTGTACCAGACATCTCTGGTGACAATTTGCAATGGGTAATAGGTACCTTGGTAGCCGGGTAGAGTCCTGGTGTTGAAGAGCTTTGAAAAGGGTGCACAAAAAACTGTTGACAGAATATCATTCCAATTGTCCCCGACATAGCCACCCTCGATACAGCGCGCTTGCCCTGTTGTATTCTGTTGCTGCAAGAAATCGCTTGCTGTCACTAAAAAATGGCGTAGCCAGAGGCCACTTTTTGTGTGCAGTTGCTACCAGGCCCTCTTTAACCCAGGTGACCGTTGCATCAATGTTTGCTCACGGGCAAAATGGGGTGAGTCGCAGAATACTGTTTTGCTTTGCCCAAGGCTTTCCACAGAGCTATTGGACTTGATGTTCGTCTCGGGACGGGGAAAAGGTAATGTTGGGCTCCCGCTCCCGTTCCCATCTCTGCTTCCGCCGTTTTCCTGACCCAACGTTGAATGTTACATAATCTCAATCAGTGATAAATCATCAATTGATCCTGGACTAGGCGGGGCGCTCGCTAACTGGGTGTGATTCTCTCTAGAAGCCGAATATTTTTTTTTGTCTTCGACCACACACTGCAGTGTTCATCTAGCCCCACTCCGTGCCTTCAGACAGAAATAGCGTCACGCTGCTCTCCGACGTTTGCATTTGATCGCAACATCACCTCTGACAGGCACTCACTCGTTACCAAGTTGCCATCCACTCATTTGGGCATCGCCATTCATTCGATGATGGCATCTGAACCACCGCTGAAGAAGAAGTGTTTAGGTGTTGACTGCGAGAACAATGCTGGGTCCTTGCAATGCCCGACCTGCATCAAGCTTGGCATGAAGGACAGCTTTTTCTGTTCTCAAGACTGCTTTAAGAAAAATTGGGTATGAACCAAACTATACTGCACTTCAATTGGTGAAATTTCTATCGGCTATACACGCTCATGGAAAGTCCGACCAGGACTTGCCGCATGTCTCTGCATTCGATGTTGATTCAATTATAGAGCAACCACAAGAGTGTGCACAAGGCCCAAAGTAATACTCCTCACCGCCTGATCGCTCCGAAAGCAATCTCACCGGAACCAGCTACAGGTTTTTATAATCCATTTCCGAGTTTCCCCTTTTCTGGACCCCTTCGGCCCGTCTATCCTCTCTCCGAACATCGTACCGTTCCCAAATCGATACCTCACCCCGTCTGGTGGCAAGACGGAAATCCAAGATATAGCCGATCTTTGACGAATCGAAACAAGATTGAAATACTCGATGCGAAGGGGCAAGAAGCTATGAGGAAAAGTTGTCGCTTAGCTCGGGAAGTACTTGATATCGCGGCGGCTGCCGCCAAACCTGGTGTTACAACTGACTACATTGACGAGGTGGTTCACAAGGCGTGTGTCGAGAGAAATGTGAGTAAGCATTCTGCCTCGGCAGTTTTTAAGTATCAATATGCTCTATGGAGTCCATTATTCCAATCACTGACTCTCACCCCCTTGCCAACTTGATGTGTGCGGCATCTGGTATTTGATAGAGCTGACAGATCGACGGACAGTCTTATCCATCCCCGTTGAACTATAACCACTTCCCCAAGTCATGCTGTACCTCAGTAAACGAAGTTATTTGCCACGGAATTCCTGACCAGCGAGTCCTCATTGATGGAGACATTCTCAATATCGATATTTCGCTCTTCCATGAAGGCTACCATGCTGATCTGAACGAGACATACTACATCGGCGACAGGGCCAAGGCAGACCCTGATAATGTGCGAGTTGTCGAAGCAGCTCGGGAATGCCTTGAGGAGGCCATCAAAGCTGTCAAGCCTGGCGTCCTCATCCGCGAGTTTGGCAACATTATCGAAAAGCATGCGAAAAAGAAAAATTGTAGCGTCATTAGGACTTACTGCGGACACGGCATCAACAAGCTTTTCCACTGTGCCCCCAATGTGCCTCACTATGCTAAAAACAAGGCCATTGGCGAATGTAAACCCGGCATGACCTTTACCATTGAGCCGATGATTGCGCTCGGCAAGTATCGTGATATAACCTGGCCGGATAATTGGACCAGCACGACCATCGATGGGAAACGAACTGCTCAATTCGGTATGTACATGTATTTGACTTGACTGCTTCATTCTGACTAATTGCTTACTTAGAGCACACTCTCTTGGTTACGGAAGATGGAGTTGAGATATTGACGGCGAGGAGGGATGACTCACCTGGTGGTGCGTTGCCCATGCCAGAGCCAGAAGGGTCAAATGGGAAGGCTGCAGATGCTTGACAAAGTAAAACACGGTCTCTTGATATCACAAAGCTTTTGGAGACTTGTGTGCTTGCTCGAGATGCTGGTTAGCATCAAGTAGTGGAATCCTCTAAAGACAGAAGCTCGTATAGACTTGAACTTGACACCCAATTGACCAACTGGTGGGAAATAGCTTCAGGCACTTTATGCTACAGCTTGAGAACCATGATGGCGTGTGTTAAACAATGGGTTTCCTACTAGCCTCGTTCTTGCTCGTGTTTGCTCAGTACCCCAACGTATCCACGTGGCAGTGCTGCCTGGGGCAAGCGATGATACAATTATGGCGGCTAGGGTCCGGTATGACTGCAGTCCCTCCTCCGGGAATGGGATGTCTACGCAACAATTGTTGTTCTTGGCGCCAGAGAGCAGTGATGCGCCTCGGTTGAGATGTACACAGGTGGTTTACATGCCTGGGCGCTCAAAGTGCTGAAGAGTTTGGCCTTCCACGATGCATTGACAAGCGCTTGTCTGCTTCTTGAGTAACTATATCCTGACATCCATGCAGACCTTGGTTGCACTGGACCAAATGCAGTAGCGTGACGTTAACAAGTGACCGGTAGTCGGGCCATTCCAGTGTCATGAGGCATAGCGGCCTAAAGTACGGGCCGGGCGACAGCTCCCACTTGACTCATCCCAAAGGTCCACTTCATGATTGATCACTTGGAGCAGCAAACTTGACGTGCCAGGTTAGGTAGTAGTTGGCAGTTTGACGCCCGCCACCGATTTCAGCATGCTTGGGCACGTATGTTTTGGAGCACAGACCACGCGGCTCCCGCCACCCTCGAATACAGCCTCGGGGACAAGCTGCAAGTTGCCAAATTGGCGCTCACCCGCCACCGTCGCTAACAACCCACGCCTTCACAGTGGATGAACCTCAACCCGCCCGTTCCACAACAAATTCTCGCACCACGCAAACTCCTTTCCCGCGACTCCAGCTGCCTCAACCATTCGCTGTGCCGGCGAAACTGCTTCTTTCTCGGCTCCGAAGCTCAGAAAGTTCTTCAGACTCTTCTTTTCGACATCTAACGGTCCGCACGCCAGGCTACTTCAGTATCCAGCATTTCCACCTGCGCTGTCCCCTTTCCCACCCCGATCTAATCCTTCGTGGCACGATTCATACAGCAAAAAATAGACGCCGGTAATTGCGCTCGCAGCTTACGCCGTTACTCTGTATACAAATTTTAGCTTTGACCTAAGCCCCAAGTGCCGTCATGATGTCCGGGGAGGCTTGGCTGTACCTGCTAGCTGTGTTGATCAACGCGGTCAACCTTTTCCTGCAGGTCTTCTTTACTATCATGTATAGCGATCTGGAATGGTACGTTGCGAGCATCTCCCACTTCCACGTTGAAGAACCAGAGCACTGGTGATATCGTTCGAATGCTATTATCAATTTCGGCGTAATTTATACTGATAAACATCAAAGTGATTACATCAACCCAATCGAGCTCTGCAACCGCTTAAACGCTTATATTATTCCCGAAGCTGCCGTACATGGGTTTTTGACTTTTTTGTTCCTTATCAATGGCTATTGGCTGGCACTTATCCTAAACTTGCCCCTTCTTGCCTGGAATGCCAAAAAGTGAGACTTCTGGATAGTGTAATATGTGCAGTTTTACCGGCTAACAAATTACGCAGGATTGTTGATAACACCCATTTGTTGGATGCTACAGAAATCTTCCGGAAGCTGAATATTCACAAGAAGGTTCGTACGATTAATTTTGAATGCCTATGACTTTGATACTAATAGTCGGCACAAACAGGAGTCGTTTGCCAAGTTGGCTTTTCACCTTGTTATGTTCTTCTTTTACCTGTACAGCATGATTGTGGCGCTTATCCGAGATGAATCATCCTAGCCTTACCCTTGTCATCGATATCGAGTGAAGGAATAAGTCGGCATTACATATTGCTGGTGGAATAAAATAACGCTCTCCTATCCTTGGTTGAAATTCCTCGCCTTGGAGTTTTCACATTGTATGCGCAGTAATTGAAGTTGCGCAGGGTGGCTTTGGTCTACGACGAGGGATGGCAAGATGGAATAAAAATATGAGTTGTAAGAGACGAATGCTCACCTCTCTTTGGTTTACAGATACCTGTTGGCACTATGGCGTTTGTTTGGGAGGGGCTTTCTCGTATGGTAATATCTGTAGATGTCTCACGCCTCTTTGCTTTAGCTTCCTCACTGCCCATGGGGTTTTGCGAATGCTTAATTTGTATACCTCGATTTTTTGGGGATAGCATCCATGAGTAACTTTATGATATGACATCTTTCGTGCTTTAGACCCTCCACGGTGAATGGCGAAAGGCCAACAGTCAAGAGCATATGCTCGCGTCACGTGACCGAACGCTCACTCAATTCCTACTCCAGTCCAGTGCCTGAATGCGAAATCTTGAACCACAGCCTTCCTTTTACCCCAAAAGAACTGCATTCGACTTCCTAAATAGCCAATATGACCGACTTTGGCGAATATCCGCCAAATATGGCCCCACAAGATGCGCTTGTCGCCCGACAACAGGCTGCAGAGGACCACGCAGTAGTCCCTTATTCGCATGAAAGCCTAGCACTCTACCCAGCTGGTTCTGCAAATTCATTGAGGGGTGATTCAACTGCCATCAAGCGCAAAAATCTCCTTACAGGCCACGCGGAGGAGACATTCTTGAGTGAGCACACGTTTCGAAGCAAACATAGGGCTATAGAGAGAAATGGCGGACCAGAACGAGAGTATCAAAATAGTGCCACACTGAAGGCGGAAGCCGTGCGATTACGAGCCACACGAGAAAATAAAGGGGATGCTACAGTAGTTGAAGGAGCTGGATCCTACATTGGGCCCTGGGCCAAGTACAATCGTAACGAGTGCGACAGGATTGATGACGATGAAGAACTTCGCAGCGATGAGGAGTATGAGATCGTGGACGATGAAGGCAATGACAACGACGTGGTGGAGAGCGGGACGGTACTTCAAGCACCAGAGGTAGCGCTTGCGCGACGAAAGGAAGTCGCAGAGCTAGGGGACGAGACGACCACCTTTCATGGCTCTGAACAGTACGACTACCAAGGGAGATCATACATGCACGTCCCCCGAGATTTAGATGTCGATCTACACAAAGAACATGGCAGCACGACCAACTACATACCCAAGAAACAGATTTTCTCTTGGAAAGACCACACAAAAGCCGTCACTGCGTTGCGCTTCTTTCCTAGTTCAGGACATCTATTACTCTCCGCCAGTGCCGACGCAACTGTAAGAATTCGAGACGTTTATCATGACAGAATGCTATTACGAACGTACTCAGGCCACTCCAAGGCAATTTCAGACGTTTGTTTCAATTATTCCGGTACACAGTTTCTTTCTGCCTCCTACGACCGAATGATGAAGCTCTGGGACACAGAAACCGGCGTGTGTATCAGCAAGTTCACCACGGGCAAGACCCCTCACGTTATCAAGTTCAATCCCGACCCAGACCACTCCAACGAATTTTTGGCGGGCATGTCGGACAAGAAAATCGTTCAATATGACGTGCGAACACCCAATGAAATCGTCCAAGAGTACGACCATCATCTTGCTGCAATCAATACAATTACTTTTGTGGATCAGAACCGTCGTTTTATGACCACCTCGGATGACAAGTCCCTCCGTGCATGGGACTACAATATTCCTGTACCGATCAAATACGTTGCCGAGCCTGACATGTATCCTATGACGAACGCGGCTCCTCACCCAAGCGGGAAATATGTCGCATACCAGAGCTCTGATAATCAGATCCTCGTATACGGGGCCAATGATAAGTTTCGCCAAAATAGGAAGAAGAGCTATAGGGGCCATAATAACGCTGGGCTGGCCATAGACCTGGACTGCAGTCCGGACGGACAATTCCTGGCATCGGGTGACTCAGGTGGCTTTGTATGCTTCTGGGATTGGAAGACATGCAAAATGTATCACAAAATTAAGAGTGGCAATCAAGCCGTGACATGCGTGAAGTGGCATCCGCAGGAGACTAGTAAGGTTGTGTCGGCGGGAATGGACGGTGAAATTCGATATTGGGATTAACGCATTTACAAGGGTAATTGCGTAGTGGGTGTTTTGTATTTGGTCAAGCATGGCAAGGCGTTCTATAGGGATATCAGTATTACGACAGCCTATATTCAAAGTTCACCACTCCCTAAACGGACTTTACTGAGAGTATCTAAATCGTACTAGGGAGATATCGCTGCAGGCATAATTAACTTGGTAGAACACTTCCCCTCCATCTATCTCGCGGGGTAGTGAATCCCTAAACAACAACCCAGGTATTATAAATGAACTTTGGCATGACACTCAGTCAAGATCGTGAGGTCACTATCTATTGGCTTGCCATACGGCAGTTAAGTGATTAATAATAGCAACGATTGAGGCAGTAGAAACGACATTTCACGACTTACTTGGCTTCGACAGTTCTGCCTCATGCATTCTTGGCATGATATCAAGGTGTTGAATAGCATTCTCGCCCCCTTGACACCGACTATTTACGAAACATTGCAGGAATTCCTTTCAAGTCTATCCAGTGGGTCCATGACTGACCTTCCCAGTAATAAGGAATGCCTCCAATCTTCATCTTCTAATGTCGTTTAAGTGTCGTGGATTGAACCAGCACCCGAGATCATGTTCCCAGTATCAAGAAAACGAACCCGGCTATACCTGGTCAAGGTAAAGGGCGCACGTAGAGCGTAATACAGGCGCTAACAAGTCCCTTGGAGTCATCCATAACAAGATATTGAAAGTCTCATAGAACTCAAATTCGCGTGCGAGTCATTGTGTTTCCCCTGGCCATTTGGATGTCGGATGGCTTCCAAAGGCAAATTTAAACACCTTACCCTGTGAACAGAGCAAGGGAAGGCCGCTCCTAGAAGCTTAAAGGATTCTAATCTTCGATTCGGTCGCATTCGTTCCTGATGGTAGAGTATATTTATATTCAACGCACTGGAAAACCCATAGCTGTGCTCTGTGTTGGTTCTGAGGAGCAAAATGATAATGACCTCTCGTTCTTGAGCTCCGTTGGCTAGCTTATTTGTGTCGGCTATGTCTTTATATACACATTTTTTTGCTCTTCCGTGGGGTTGGACGGGCATTCCAATGTTGCATTTCCGTGCAAGGTCGCTTTCCAAGGGTGAGAGATACATAGTGACCTCACTCAAGGCCAGGGGCCTGGTCTTGGCTTCTCACATTCGCCTTTGTGTTGCTGTCAAGTATCATGATTGTAACTGGCTATTCAATGGATTGATCCCTTCATGTTTGGTGCATCCACCAAGTGCTCTCATTGACTAGGAATATAGCCACTTTATAGTTTTGCCTCGTGACGCAGTTGCTCTCTCGACGGCGATGCTGAAGAGGCTTGGCGAAACGTGGGCAGAGCATATTATTTTTAGAACTAACAGGTCAAGATGAAGCGAGGAAATACTACTTGCACCCTGATCTCCCGAATGACAGGCTGGATCACACACAATATTTAATTTGCCAGTTCTTGTCGGGGTGCTCTTACGGGGTACTGAGAAAACATGACCATGGACTAATGTGCCTGGGGGAAAGGTTGTTCAACAGTCTGTTGGAAAGCGTGGTAGGACACTGACGACTTAAAAATGTGACATCAAATGAGACGTATAGCGGAGGCTATTGAGGCGCAACAGCTACCTCTGTCTGCCTTCGTTGATACTGTGTAAGGTCAGTTGACATGATGCTGCTTGTCGCGGTTGGAAGATATGGATCAATTAAATAATGAAAGAAGTCCTTGGTCTGGGTCCATCTAGCTAGTAAGTCCGCGGCCACATCAATAGTTGTGAGGGCTGTCTCACCAGCTGGCATGGCAGTCTCCGGTGTTTACGTTGGTAATTCATTCCACTCATTATTCAGAGGCTCAGGGGACAGTGACTCATCAGATTTTTGGTGACTTCTATTGTAATTCGAGGTGATACTTCCGCTAATGTGATAACGCTACTACCCCCGTTGCCGATGTGGTTGCCGCTGCTACTACCACTACCATTACTACTAATATAAAGAAATGTAAAGCGGGCTGCCGACTTTGACGAAATTTTGGCTCATTTGGAAGCTCGCAGCAGAGCCAACTGCAGTTAAGGCTTGAAGCCAGGCTTGGCCGAAGTTGTTGAATTTGACAGGCTCAGTCGGGCGGCTGGCTAATTTGGAAGCTTGTGACTCGGAAGCTTCTGAAGAGTTGATGTGCTTTCAAGCGTCTTCTGCCTTGGAAGCCCTTAAGTTAGTTAGGGGTCCTGCCAGGCTCGTTGCCAAGGCGTCTGTATTTGGACTGCCGACAGCCACGATTTCCATTTAGCCCCACGCATATATGCCGATATGAGGCCTCGGTATCTTGCGAGTCTAATTGCTGCTGCAGATATTGTTCCCGGTTGCCAAGCCAGTTGCACTTGTAGCTGCTTTTAGTATCTTCTGATATCGAGAGCCAGCTAGGCAGAGCTCCTGGAGGGGCTGGAAGACTTGATTACTTGATCAAGAGTTTTTCTCGGAGATGCCAAAGGTTTGCCCTTGCTGCTCTTTGCGATAGAGCCTATCCGGGGGGTTCATCCTAACAGGGCCGTGAATGCCACAACCAAATTGGATGCTTTTGCCGGAAGGCTATTGAGGTCTTCAGATTGAGCCCCGGTGTCAGATTAAGTGTTGCCGTTAGAAGAAATGAAGAAAAAGACAGCCGCCGACGGGTTCGCTGCGGCGGAGGGAGAGAAGCGAACGGAAGAGAAGAGAGGGCAAGGGAAGAAGAACAACTGCAGAAGGAGGTCTGCAGTAACCGTTGAATCGAAGCTACTCAAGTATTTGCAGCTACTGACGAAATTGGCCGGACGGAATGAAGGCCTGCTGGCCGTAGGGACAATCTTGCAACTTCCTACACCTGAGAAAGTCCCTAGTAGCTACGAGATTGCTGTGAGGTCTATGGTAGAGACCTTCTATTGAATTTATAGCCGCATCCGGAGGGTTTGTAACAGCTATTGATGAGCTCGACCGGATTGAATTAGAGGCTTTCGGCCGTAATGGGCAGCTAGACCGGCACTGCGGACATCTCAGACAAGCTGGCTTGGACCAAACGCTGGGACACTTGCATATCCAAAGGTCTTTGCCCGTCCGTGTTGTTAAGCAATCAAAGGGTGCATGAATACCTTCATTCACCCCACAATCAATACAGAAGCGTCGCAACATGACCTGTCTGTCGATCCGGAAATCAGGGTCTCGATCCCTGACGATACAGCCTCGTACATCAACAAAAGCTGCCTGCGGCTGCAGCATGTCAAACTTGTCTGGGGACCGAACCCGAAAGCATATGTAGCATTCAAAGTTTCCGGGCCTGAAGTCATGGCCTTTTTCGTTCGGCCGGTGCTGTGGAAAGTCCTTGGCAGCTCGCATCACAAACTGAGCCTTGTCTGTTGTTGTCGACATTTTCTGCGGGTCGACGGTTCGCTGGAAATATCGGTTCATTGTGGAGAGGTAGATGAGTGACTGGTAGTCCAAGTTGGAAAAGACGATATGTTGAAGCTCGTGAGGAAGCCGTTCGATAATAGATGGCATATTGACAGTTGTACGCCAATGATGCCTTGCGAAGTTGGAAGAGCTTGCCGAGTTCCGCTCAAAGGAGCGTTCTGCCGTCCTTGCTCCTGCTACCAGCATGTCGAATATTTACTAACGTTGACTGCGCCGAGAAATAAGTGAAAGCAACTTGAGTTATTTTTCTCGGCAGACTGTTAAGCCTTCACAGGATTCTGGCCAGAACTTGTTCTTTGACAAATGCTGGTATTCGCTTATAAGGCGGCCAAGTGGAAGAAGGGCTCTACTACGACGGACGAGGGCAAACACCAATGGCGACGTAGAGCATCCAGAATCAAAGAAGAGGCACGGGGAGCAAGGAGTCCGTGATTTGCCAGACGTCGGTAGATTCCTCGTAGCTCTCTCTGTTGGCTGTGGTTTTCTGAGTCGAGTTCGGTTCAGTTTACATGCCTGGGCTTGACTAAACGCAAACGCAAACGCAAACGAAGGCGTAGTTTTTGGTTCTGGCCGACGAAGTGCAACAGAAACAAAGCTCGTTCGGTGGCATAACCGCTACTACTCCGTCCTAGTATTACCATGTAATCTCGAGCTTCCTCCCACCCCTTTTGGGAGTCTTTCTCTGCTGATACATATACTCCACCAATGAAGGGCACACGTACGAAGGTACCATTGGCTGCTGGAGTCGTCTGCTCGGCCTCTGTGTGACATGCCGGTAGTTGAAGGTAAGAGCATTTTTGGGCAATAATGAACCCCAGACAGGATGCGGAGGCTGGGACAATAGGTTCTCTGAATGTGGATGCCACCAAAAGAGTCAGAGGAGCCAGCAATGGGTCAGGAATGACAGGTCATGTGTTGGCGGCGCGCATGGGCGGTGACATCTCGTGAAGACAGGACACAGTTACCACGGCTCTGTTGTGCGAGAATTTTGTCCTCCTCGGGCGCTTGGTGAGTGCCGTGTGTTCCAGGAATGACAATATTAGAGCCAGCCTTACTCCGTTAGTTGAATTGGATGAACCAGGGGCTGGACAACGGCCGAGAGTTGAGGGGATACTCCCATCTGCCGGTGGCGGATTGCCTTTCGTCCCAGCAATTTCGCGGAAACCCGGAGGAGACGTGCTCCGGATATCGATGACAGTTACGGTTGAGGCTCGGTCGTTGTCGCTCGTGTCACCCGTTGTTTGCCAGGATTCTAGAGTTGACCCAGCAAGGAACTCCGCCTGGTGCCCAGGGTGTCCAATGAAGCAGCCCGCATTGCAATCTCTCGTAACCAACGAGCCGGTATGCAACCTCGGCGGGACCGCCACGAAGAGCGGCATGCACAATCCGGACGATCGAGTCTGAAGAACATTGGCTCAAGCACACCTCCTCGCCATGTGCCTTGGGTTGCTGACTCGTGGCTGCATCGCCCTCTGGCTGTGCTTGAGCAATGTGGTCAAGTTGGTTGGGGGCGAGGTCGGAAAAGCTGGGCTAGGAGCCTTGGGCCTTGGGCTGCCGGAGTGTTGGGTTAAAAG